ATCTTTCCAGCGGGGCCATGTCCTGGTCCTCTGCTATGCCAGCCAGGAAGGGCTTCTGGTCCAGACATTTACACCACAGATGGAGAGAGCGTGGCCCCTGTGTCCTGGGAAAGACCACTGTGTCTGGCCTCTGAATACCTCATGGTCTGACTGCCCTCCTCAACTACCTCAATGACCCAAGTTCCCTGCCTGGTCTTCTAGATCCTGAAATCCTGACACCGTTAGCTATCCTCGTGTGTTTGTATGACGTGGGAGATGTAGAAGACTTACCTGAGTGGACTTCAATACAATCCCCAAGATAGTTCTTCAGCCTGGACGTCCTTCTCCCTCCCAGGGGTGATGATTTGGGGATTTTTTGTTTTTCCTGGGCTCCTTTTGGTTTTCTCCCCAATGCACTTGTTTTATTTGCAGGTCTATGCAGTGTCTGGTCTCCTTGCAGTCCAAATATAGACAAATGTGCATCCATACAGTAGCTGGTAGCACCCCTTCTATTTGATTCCTGGCATGAGGCAAACACTCACCTAATGTCTTATTAAGTGAAAGACTCATTCCAAGAGCACATGTGAAGGAAGCTCCTGCTTCCTGTGTCTGAGTGAATCAGCTCACGATCTTCCTTCCCTTTGCCCAACTCCTTCAGTGAACTCAACAGAGAGGTGGCTGCAAAGTTATTCTCAAAGAAGAATGGAAAAGGGCTTTTCCTACAGGCATCCTAAGGTTCTGCTTTTTGGAAGGGACCTCTTCAAATGGCAGAAGGAGGCCTAGGGACTCTGGGCTCGCCCGTGGCCCTGAGAAGCTCCAGCTACGCACTCATCTCGGGATCTTTTGTACCTGTTCATTTGTCTGCCTGGATGTGTCCTTTCATCCCTGCCCCCTGTTCTTTACACTCAGGCATCTTTTCCTCCAGGAAGCCTTCTCTGACATAGACTGATGTACCTTCACCGCTTTGTCCTCACCAGGAACTTGCCTCATTGCCTGATGTAGCCATGTTCCTTGTGCCTCTGCATCCTTTTGCTCTGCCATGGTTTGGGTCCCCTTTCTCCCCTCCCATCTCAGCACCTATCACAGGTCATGGCACCCGGAGCATGATCCCTGAGGATCTGTTGAAGGTGAGTCAGTCCTGCACATCTAACCAATTACTCTTTGATTGTTCGTTTGTTTGGTTTTTTTGCGGTACGCGGGCCTCTCACTGTTGTGGCCTTTCCCATTGCAGAGCACAGGCTCCGGACGCGCAGGCTCAGCGGCCATGGCTCACGGGCCCAGCCGCTCCATGGCATGTGGGATCTTCCCAGACTGGGGCACGAACCCGCGTCCCCTGCATGGGCTGGCGGACTCTCAACCACTGTGCCACCAGGGAAGCCCTAACCAATTACTATTTTTTTGGCGGTACGCGGGCCCCTCACCGCTGTGGCGCCTCCAGTCGTGGAGCACAGGCTCCGGACGCGCAGGCCCAGTGGCCACGGCCCACGGACCCAGCCGCCCCGCGGCACGCGGGACCCTCCCGGACCGGGGCACGAACCCGCGTCCCCCGCATCGGCAGGTGGACTCCCAACCACTGCGCCACCAGGGAAGCCCCCTAACCAATTAGTCTTGATCGCATTTGTGGGGACCGTGGGTGTGGAGAGAGAACTGTTTTGTCAATTGTCCAGGGATCTTTGTGATTTCTCTAGCTCCTTCTTTGAAGATCCTCTTAGATAATCTTTTATCTCCACCCCCAGGAAATTCCAAGGAGAAGTTACAGAAGTAGAGGTTTTGACTGTTTATTGTAAGAGCTATTATTATTTACAATAGTAACTCACTATTATTATTTAAGATGTCAGTATAGAGGCTTTTTTCCCCCAGCTTTATTGAGATATAGTTGACCTATTATATTGTGTAAGTTTAAGGTGTACAATGTGTTAATTTGATATGTTTATACATTGCAAAATGATTACCACCATAGCATGAGCTAACACCATCATCACATCACATAATTATCATTTCTTTTTTGGAATAAGAACATTTGAGATCTACTTTCTTAATAACTTTCAAGTATATAATACAGTATTATTAGTTATAATAATCACCATGCTGTGCATTAGATCTGCAGAACTTAATCCAGTTAATCTTGTAGCTGGAAGTTTGTATCCTTTGGTCCATTTCTCCCACCGTCCCCCCCACCCCCCCCCCCAGACTCTGGTAACCAACACTCTCCTCTGTTCCTCTGAGTTCAGCTTTTTTGGATTCTATATATAAGTGAGATCATACAGGATTTGTCTTTCTCTGTCTGGCTTATTTCACTTAGCATAATGCCCTCAGCATTCATCCAAGTTGTTGCAAAGGACAGGATTTTCTTCTTTCTCATGGCTCAGTAATATTCCATTGTGTGTGTGTGTGTGTGTGTGTGTGTGTGTGTGTGTGAGTGTGTGTGGGTGTACACAAACAATGGAATATACATTTCACATTTTCTTTATTCATTCACCTGTTGATGGACACTTAGGTTGTTTTCATAGCTTGGCTATTGTGAATAATGCTTCAATGCACATGGGCATCCAGATATCTCTTTGAGATCCTGTTTTCATCTCCTTTGCATATATGCCCAGAGGAGGGGTTGCTGGATGGCATGGTGGTTCTATTTTTAATTTTTTGAGAAACCTCCACACTGTTTCATGTGTAGTTTTTTTCAAGGCAAGGCAGTTCTTCAGGGATGCTAAAGGGTGCTGGATAGACATACCATAAGATCCTAGTGCCCCTGAGCCACTTGTGAGGTTAAAGGGTTCAAACTATAGAACATTTTTAATGAATCGCTTCCTGGGCTGAGGAGGTCCCAATTACTGTGTCTGTGCTCCATGCGGGAGCTGCAGCTTCCCTGTGGTGGGAGTTCTGCTTTCCTCCATCCAGAAAACAGGGAAGAGGTGATCCCCCACCCCAATGTCACTTTTGACTCTACTTGGACTCCATGGAAATTGTCCCACCTGCCAGTGAGGTTGCTCCTCTCCATTCTGGTTGGGCCACAAGAGGTGGCGTTTGAGACCAGTAGGAGCTGCCGAGAGTCTGAGGCCTGGGTCCTCATCCTGTACCTGGGGAATGCTGCAAAACCAAAACGTCTGCCATCCAAATGGATGTTTTGTCTCCCCAAGGCCAAATTACCAAGTGAAATGCAATTATTAGATGCCGTTTCCTTTTTATTTCATTATGCTTTAAAGTCATATGTCATATTATAGTTTTTAGCATCATTATTCTTCCTACTACCTATTTTTGCTATTGAAAGTGTCAACTAGGTCATGAAATGTCACAGATCTGCTCCACATGTGACGTTTATCTGCTCAGTCTCAGTTTCACTATTTGTAAATAAGGGAAATATTAACCCTGACTTCCTTGGGTGGCTGCTAGCATTAAATGGGCTGATGGTGCAAAATGCTGGGGAGAGGCTGCATTCCTTAGCAGGACTGATGGGAGGTATGGGTTTGAGAGAACTCTGCTTTTTCTTTGCACAACTTGACGTGAGGGTCCTATTTCTGGCATTCAAATACTGGGCTTCTGATGCTTTCATGTGTCTTGAACTTCTTGAAGAGTCTGGAAGAAAGGCCTGAACCAGCACGGTCTCTCAGCATGAGCACCAGCCCAGCCATCTTCCCAGGCCATGGGAAACCAAAACCAGGACATTCACAATGAGACACGCCATGGTTATTCTTCTTCCTTTGAAAAAAAAAAAAAGAAAAAAAATTACATCGTTCTCCTTTTGTGCCACTGCAAACATTGCGACATTTTTGGCGGGAAGGGGAAGTTATTTTGTGTATGTGTGAACTAGAATTTTGATAGACAGGGTAAGTTGCAATCCAATTCTAAACTATAGATTTTCAAGCAGATTGATGCAACAAATTGTTAGCAAATAGCAGTTTGCAATTTGATGCTAATTAGACATAAGGCAAATATGTGCCATGACAAATTAGCAGCGAACCATACTGCAGAGGATTAGCAAGAGCTGGCACAGCTTGAGCCCGGCTTCGCACACCTCCCCGTCGCCGTCATCGGCGTCACCGTCGGGGCCTGAGCCAGCCTCGCCTCTCTCTGAGCAGGAAGCTGGGGAGGGGCCCAGGAGCATCCCAGGCCAACGCTCACAGTGATGCTCTGCCTCTTCACTTTCCACCCCTGCCTGCCTGCTGGTCAGCGTGTTCTCTCCTGAGACCCATGGAAGCTTCTGGGACACTCACATGATATACATATGTTTAGGTTATAAATATAAAAATAATCCTGGTAACATTAGAACATACACACAAGCAAACAAGAAAAGCAAAGCAAAGAAAAGAAGAAAGAAAGAATGAGAGAAGGAGAAAAGAAAATAAACCCAAAGATAACCACTATTACCACTATTAGGAATTTGGTATTCATCCACTGAAATCTTCATTTCCATGAATAAAATTATATATATATATATATGTATATGTATATAATGTGCAATATATTATATATGTAATTATTATTTAAAACAGAAATGAGCTCATACATATGTTGTTTGCAACCTTTGTTCTCACTTAATTTTACATTATGTATATTTTCTCAAGTCCATGAGCACAGATTCATATTAAAAAAATAGCTACATAGTGTTTTCTTTTATTAATTCAACCACTAGGTTAGTCACCCATCCTTTACTGTTGGACACCTGGATTGCTTGTAGCTTTAAGCTACTGTAAACACTGTAGCATTAGAGGGCTTGAAAATTCATTTCTGCACACCTGTAATTATTCCTAAGGATACATTCCCAGATAAGGAGTGATGGAGTCACAGCAGAGAGTTTGTATGAAATTTTTTCTCCCTCAGAGTAGCCATTTCCTAAGCCCTGACTAACACTGGTTATTGTTTTAAATCTTTGTTAGTTAGACATACCCCCAAATGTTGCCCTGTTGACATTTGCTTACCTTTGTTTATTAATAGGGTCATGTCTCAGGTCCTCACACTACAAATAATCACTGGAAATTGAATTCATGCTCAAAATTGCTTTGCTAAATTTCTCTGTCATACAGATTTCCATGGAATTTTAAAACCACGGATTCTATGGAGATGATGCTAATACTGTGGCTGTCAGGCTCGAAGAAAGTGGTGCAGTGTTTCTCAAACTTGACTCATCAGCGGTGCCTGTGAAGGTCTTCAGAATCCAGGTTCCCCTTCTTACTTTCAAGGTTCTGGTTCAGTGGGCCTTTGGAGGGGTGGGGAGGCTTCCCAGTTACTTCTCATCTTCAGAGAATCTTTGGTAAACACAACTGGAAGGTGTATAACGTGTGTAGCATAGTCCTTCCCTCCACCATAGTAACTGTTGCTCCTGGGAGGCGAGGGGACAAGATCCTGGAGCCAGGGGGCATGAGAGAGATTTTCCAGGCTGTCCTTACTGTAGGAAGAAGGGCAGGATCTCCAATGCTGGGCCCTGGGCAACTTGGCATGCAATATAGAGACCTGGGTTCAAAGCCCCAGATCTGGACCCTCCTATTTTTGTGAACTTAGAAACATACCTTAACTTCTCAGAGCCTTGTGTCCTTGTCTGCAAAATGGAACAAGAGAGGCATAAATAATGCATCTCCAGCATAAAAATTAGTAGTTCTGTGTGTACTTTCCCATTTGAATGAGCATGGCACGTGGACATGTGTGATGAAAATGTATGAGAAGTTGTAAAGTGATCTGGAATTTCGTCAGGTACCATGAGGATTTGTATGGAAGTTGAAGATCTCATTATTTTCAGTAATAAGTTTGGAAGTTGTGTTGTTTTGGTTCATATATTTATAAATATGTGTGTATATGTCTGTTTCTGCACAGACACATTCAAGGCCCATATACGGGTAAGCATAATCCCATGTGAAAATGAGTAGTAAGCTCTTTAGAGGCATTACATTTTTCTTTAAGTTTAAAATTTTTATTGAGATATAATTAGTATATCACAAATTCACTCTTATAAAGTACATAATTCATTAGCTTTAAATCGGACATCCAACTTAAAACAGTTAAGTTTAACAGTTTAATGATTATTCTCATCAGAATGGACTACCTTATTGTAAAACTATTTGTAAATCTCCTTGACTATTTATTGCAATTTTAAATTTAAAAAATCATTATAATAATTTAAAAAAATATTAGAGAAATAATCATGCTATGAATACCTTCATAACCTGAGGATGGATATGGGAGTGATATACATATATATATAAAATCATGTTTGTGTTGGAATTTTCTTTTGACCCTAACACTGTCATTTTAAGTATATTATTGGTTAAAATTTTTTTTAAATTGAAGTATAGTTGATTTATAATATTTCAGGTGTATTATATTTTCTAACTGATCATTGCTTTACTTCAGGAAAGTGATTAATTTCTTAATGTTTATTATTTGGCCACCTCTCTAAAGTTTATTATTAGCTCAAATATATAGTTTTCTTTTTTAGGTAAACATTCATAAAGTGTGTAAATAATGACCCTTTTTCCTTCTCCTTTCCTAAATTTATATTTTTTATAGTTTTTCTTATTGCTTTGGATAGAACTTTCAGAAAAATGCTGAATAATGGTGGTGATAACAGGCATCCTTCTAAAGATTTTCCCCCTAAAGGAATGATTTGGGGCTTCCCTGGTGGTGCAGTGGAATCCGCCTGCCAATGCAGGGGACACGGGTTCGAGCCCTGGTCTTGGGAGATCCCACATGCCTCGGAGCAACTAAGCCCATGCACCACAACTACTGAAACCTGGGCGTCTAGAGCCCATGCTCCGCAGCAAGAGAAGCCACCACAATGAGAAGCCCGCACACTGCAATGAAGAGTAGCCCCCGCTTGCCACAACTAGAGAAAGCCCATGTGCAAAAACGAAGACCCAAAGCAGCCAAAAAAAAAAGGAATGATTCAAATGTTTTATTACTAGGTATAATGGGTGATGATTGGTTTGAGAAAGGTTTTTTTTTTTTGAGTCATATAAAAGAGTTAGTATTTTATTTTTAGTATTCTATGCATTAAAAAAAGTTAGGAGTGACTGTTGAATTTTATCAAATGTCTTTTCCTTAACTATGAATAATATTATATGTTTCCTTTGTCATACCTGATATTCTAAATTATATTAATATTATATTTCCTAATGTTGAATCATCCTTACTTTCCTTGAATAAAACAAACTTGATAATGGATCATTTGCCATTTTAAATATACTGCCAGATATGATCAGTCGAAGCACTTTAGGCAGAAGGACTAGAAAGTCAAAGCTATGAATATAGAAAAGCAACTGGAATGTTGGCTTAACTGAGTAGATTAGTTGGTTTGGAACACAGGGTATGTGAGAGGATAGTGGGAAATAAAACTGGAAAAATAAACTGAGATATGGGTACATAACACCTTGAATCCTGTGTCAAAGGTCTAAATTCTAGATATATAGATTGATGATGACATTTTGAACCATGAGAGGAGGTGAGAGGCTCAGGAGAGTGTTTGGAATGAGATAAGAAAACTCTGATTAGAACTTTGAGAAGCGCCAGACTTTTAGAACTCTTGAAAATGGTGACAAGGACCTATGAGGTCAGAGAAATAGGAAGAGAACCAGAAGAGAGCAACAGCAGGGAAAACAAAAGGGGAAAGAGCTTTAAGAAGAGGCCGTAGTCAATGGTAGTGAAGTGAGATGAGAAATGAGACATAGCTTTGGAGTTGGTTATTAGAAGATTTTGATGGAGTAGGTCTAGGTTAGATTGAAAGAAATTAAAGAGTTAAGAGATATTGGTGAAAAGGAGGCACTAATGATACCTTCTTATCATGATGATTATTATTATAACATTATCATAGTTATTCACACCCAAATTGTTGACATATGATCCAGACATTGTATGAAATAATTCAACAATATTAAAACATTATGTGGTTATAGGAACACACATAATTATGGGAGCAAAACCAATGAAGTGGAAAAACAGCAGGAAACAACTCAGGAAAACAGTGTTTAATTTCCTTCTTAAGCCCTCTGGGGGAATTCTCCAGACAGTTTTGAGAATGATCAATAATGAATGTTGCTGTGAATTTATTTTCCTTGCAAATCTTTACTTAAACAGTATGTAATAGGCTGTAGCCTGCCAGTACTCTGGACTGCTTGGACTGGTGGGAATCCCTGGGGTTTGGGGAGTTGGTTATGACCAGAGAATATCTTTCTTTGCATAATAACTAGGCCAGTCTCTGGCTGCTGTGAGCTTACAATGATGGTGGTATCATCACTAGTGTATCATTGTTTTCTGAGTTTTTAGAATCATTGTCACTGATGAGAGTCAAATAGGTTTGTGAGTGATTTACTTGAAAGATATCAAAGAGATTTGTATTTATCCCTATCATAATAGTGTTCTAACTTCTTGAGTTCAATTGCTTTTTAAGTAGGTGAGAAAAGGGTGGATGTTACAGCTAGAAACCTAGAAACAGGCAGAACCCACAAAAGGTCCTATGGATAGTTTTATGGGAATGTATCATTGTGGTATTTGAGGATGATGCTAGTCTTTTACTTCTTTGGGATATGCACATGGGAAGCTGCCACCTATTTGACCTTAACCCTCAACATATGTGCCACATAAAGAAAAAGCATTGTTACATCAGTTGCCCCTTACAAAATGCCTGGCAAGTTATTTCCAGAGAGAACAGATTGAGACTCCTCACATAAGTTAGTGGAGCACAACCTCCTTTTATTTTTCTAGTCATAAAGCTTGGAGACTAGCTGATCCTACTCTAAGACAATAAACCTTGGGCTCCACTTTACATCAGTCAGCTGAAATGTCTTCAAAAAGGCAAACCCCTAGTATGTTCTCCTCCCATATCAACCATGAGATTCTGAAACACTATGATTGGGGTAAGGCCTAGGAATCTAAATTATTGACAAGTTCCCTGTGGATTAATACATGGGTGATTCTCAGTTTACTGTTTTAATTTCAGCAGGGTCTGTAGTGATGTTCCCTCTTATTCCTGATATAGATGATATATTCCTCTTTCTGTCTCTCTATGTCTCTGTCTGTCTTCTTTTTCTTAGTACATTTGATGAGAGGTTTATGATTGTTTTATTGATATTTTCAAAGAACCAGGTTTGGTTCCATTAATTTTCTCTTAGTGCCCTATTTTTAATTTCATTGATTTCTGCAATTACAGCAAATCCCCTACATACGAACAAGTTCTGTTCCAAGGGTGTGTTCGTAAGTCCAATTTGTTCGTAAGTCCAAAAAAGTTAGCCTAGGTACCCAACTAACACAATTGGCTATATAGTACCATACTGTAATAGGTTTATAATACTTTTCACACAAATAATACATTAAAAAAAACAAACACAAAAAATAAAGAAAACATTTTTAATCTTACAGTATGGCACCTTGAAAAGTAGAGTAGTACAGTACTGGCATGCAGGGGCTGGCATCAAGTGAACAGGCAAGAAGAGTTACTGACTGGAGGAGGGAGAGGAGGTGGGAGATGGTAGAGCTGAAGGATCATTAGCAATAGGAAACAGAAAGCAAGCTTCATTTTCACTCACGCCTGATGTTGATGGAACGTATGTTCTCATCTTTGAAAGTTCATGACTTGAAGGTTCGTATGTAGGGGACTTACTGAATTACTTCTTCTACTTGCCTTGGGTTTTTTTTGTTCCTTTTTCTAGTTCCTTAGAGCTTTGGTTATTAATTTCAAACATTTTTTCTTTTCTGTACAAACATTTCATGCTATAAATTTTCCTCTAAACACTGTTTTAGTTGCATCCCACAAATTTCAATATTCTGTATTTTTCATTTTTGTTCAGTTCAAAATAGTTTCTAATTTCCCTTGGTTTAACTTTTAACTCATTTGTGTCTTTGAATTTAGGGCAAGATTCTTTAAGACAGAATGTAGTTGGGTAATGTTTTATTTTTTAAATCCACTCTGACAATCTCTGCCTTCTAATTGGGTTTTTAGACCATTTATGATTAATGTGATTATTAATACAGTCATGTTAAATTTACCATCTTGATAATTGTTTCCTATTAGTCCCACCTGTTCTTTCTTACTTTTCCTTTCTGAATTTAGAGTAATAGAAGATGTATTATGATGATTCCATTTCATCTCCTTTCTTGGCATGTTAGCTATTACTCTTTATTGTTTTATTTTAGTGGCTGCTT